GAAAAGATGCTGAAGTTGAAAATCGAAGCATTACTTTGAGTACCTACTTATCGTGATCGTGTATACATAAACAAACAAAAATAAATAACACACATCATTGTAAAATCAATACATTTATCGCTCCTCAGCTCAGAATCTAAAATGAAGCATAAAACATACTTAGTCACTAGTCACAATGTATATATCTCTATTTTGATAGGTTGATTTTTTTTAGAAGGGGTCTTTAATGTTTTCTTTTCTTCTGAGTTCTCTCTTCTTCATCACACGCTCGTTAGATTGCTAGGAAACTATGTGGTTTGCAATAAAAATAAAAGAGAATTTTCGCTCACGAAAGTAGGAGTGAAGTGAGGTTATGGACTAAAGAAAGAGTAGACTTGACCACAATGGAGATATTATCACTACTATAATAAGCCGAATTTGTTTGTCAAGTGGTCTTTATCATGGCCTTTTTTAACGGTTAGGTTCTTGAAACATTTTTTTTTCGTATATCATAAACTAGTTGAAGAGTAAATATAGCATTTTTATTTTGATATTAAAACATATTGATTACAATTAGGAATAATAATATATTTTATATTTCAAATATTTTTTACGTACAATAATAAGGAAAAAATATAAACTATACGGTTTTCATCTTTATTTGGTTAGTGTTTAAAGCACTTAGATATTTCATGAGCATTTAAACACGTGTATGGTTTGACTCGACTTTCCGACCAGAATACAAAATGACGTCGCGTACCTATATGATAATATTGTTATTATTAAATATGCATCATATCATGTCATGTATACCTACGTATTTTCATTCGCTTGCTATTAACACGATGGATATAATATATTGCGATGATATTTTAAAGGCAACATAATATAGATAGCACCGCACATAGGGGCTTTTGTACAAAATATTCCTTCGGGAGTTCACGGGTTGAGTAGTACTCTGCAAATATATATGTATATTGTATAAATATTATAACACGTATATTTTATTATAATATTATATACATATAAATGCGTTTTGTGACCTAAATATTCTACTACGGTTGCTGTTGAGTGTTGACACGGCTTGCGTTGCACTATTTGGAGCTCGGTGAAAAACTATCGGCAAGTGTGTGTGTGTGTGTGTGTGTGTGTGTGTGTGTGTGCGTATTATATTATATTATAATATATATAGGTAGGTACCGTATAGTATATTATATACGTGATCGCCTGTTGAAAACGACGGGAAAAGTCACGTTTGCATTGGAGCGGAGAGGAAAACGCAATGGGTCGCTGGGGGTTATTAATGACGTCCGCACGCAAATCGACCTTCATTTGTCAGGTCCGGTGCTGCGGCCCCAAATCGTTTTACCATTTTGTCGTTCCGGACCGTTCTTTTGGAAAACGTTTTGGCGCGCATCAGGCGCTGCTGCTGTAGCAGCAAAACTATACGGCAAATATTATGATCACTCGATAGTCAGCGGATTGTGCCTTCCCAGACACTTCGCATTCCTCGAAAACATTTTAGAAAGAAATTAAAATATGTACAAATAAAGTACATAAAGCAAAACAATTATAAAATATTAAAATATATACTTTAAGCGATGAATATTGTTTTCCAAAGAATATTTCTTATACACCGATCAGTATATTGATGATTCACATCATACGCGTCGATGATGTGGGGTGGATTTAATCATTTCCCACCCCTATGCTATTAATATTAATATTTCCTAATCATTACTCCTAAGACATACCAAAAAAAATATTCATGTATAAATTTATTATATATTTTGTATTTTGCACTTCATTTTGCATATTAACTACATTTTAAAATAAATGTTCTATTTCAAATACAGACCGTTTATTTTTATCAAGTATGTAGCACAAAAGAACATCATATACCTAGTTAAGTAATTTTAATGTTAACACTTCATATTGGAAATGGCGTCTTGACCATTTAAATTAAATTTCCCTCCTTAATTACCATAAACAAAACACCAATCTAAGTGACACTAATGTGTGGCATCTTATTCAAGAAGTCCATGTTTTTTTTAACCCTTATCCTATATGCTTATTGTACAAAATTGTAGAGATTGTGTACCTATGTGTTTGTGAAATTTAAAAAAAAACTCTTCATATTATAGTTATTGACAATAAATTATTGTTTATATACCTATAGTTTTAGATTCTGAGTGGAACGATGAATGTATTGACTTTACAGTTTACAATGATGTATGTTTTTTTTTTTTAATTTCACTGTATGTTTATATTAGCATTTCCTATACACCAGTTAAACATTTATAAAATGTTCAACTTTTATGTCTAAGGATTGAAAATTTAAGACAAGGTTCCACGTAAGTAATTAATTCTGTTATCAAAAAAATCTAAAAAATACATAAGCACAGTTTATTTGCATAGTCATTTTAAGTTCAAATTTGGATGAAATTACATAAAAAAAACCTAGAATAACAATTTTAGTTATTTTGTTGTGATTGCATAATATTATTCGTGGGTACTTGAAACTTCTAAAGTACACTAATACACTATTATATATCTATGATAGTATCAGGGTTTGTTGTTGATGTTTAACGCGTTATAAGTACCTAATAGATATTTTGATATGGTTAATTTGGAATTTATTATAGGGACCTATTATAGGTCAATTTTTTTTAATACCATAGATATAAGTATATAATATTTCTTATACCTAGACTGACATACCGTCTCCGCTCAGAATTTCCTTATACAACGATATTATATCATTGAATTCAAATTTAATACCATCCATTATACAGTGACCCACTTGTAACCTACTTTACAGCAGAGCACCTTTTTTTTTTTTTTTAGTACACAAGGAGTGTACCACGTGGACTCAAACTTGTGTTTTTGAAACGAGGACCCTCTCTCGTCATGTAATTATATTTTTACCCTGATCGTTTTTCTCTGAACATATATTTGGACGTATCGATTATTAAATAATAAATTTTTAAAGCCACTTTGTTTCGTCTCTCAACAAGTAAACACGACAACGTGTAAATAGGCAAGCCTCAAGCTGTTTTATCTAAAAATCGCGTCCATTTTGTTTTTCTCACGGAACTAAGATATAATGGACTGGAACGACAAGGTGGGCGGGGGACGGGGGACGGCCCGCAAAAGGTGTCTCTGTTATCATCAACACTCATAATCGAGAGTTTTCAGCGCTACCAGTGGTTTTATTTGGCGTCACAATCTAAACCATGATCGCGTTTTCGCGGGCTATTTCTATAGCCCCGTAAACACTTAGAAAGGTTATTTATTTATTAATTAAAACAATTTTTAATTAATAAATAAATTGAATGATGGATTTTCGTCAGTGCAGTGTAAGAGGATGCACCAGTAAAAAAAGAAATCCCAAGATTTCTTTTCTTAGTGCACCAAAAGCCAATTACTTAGCTTGGAAATTAGCAGTGAATAATGCTAACTGTGAGGAAACGGTTGTAAAATTTGTATGTGCCGAACATTTTTCGACCTGAGATACAATAAATACCTATTTGTTACCACCCGATATTCCCGATGTAAGTATTATGTATTTTAAAACTAATAATATTGTTGCTATATAATATGTACCTAATATACAATATATAAATATATATTTTGCATTTATTTTTTTGTCAATTAGAAATTATTTGGTATGGCTAGACAGGTTAGTGGTCCAAATGACCACCCTTGTTCAACAACATTTTTACAAGTGTATAAAACACTATCAGTTTATTTCAATTTTTAAAACCGCCTAAAACCGGTAATTATAAAGTTTTGGATGACAATACCCCCAAAATTACAATCTATGATATGAAAACTATATTTAATGACAATACAGCTGAGCGTACTTTAAAGCTCCAATCATTGAAAAATAAATTGGACTTATTTGCTAAACAACAAACAGATATAGATATTGTTTTTGATGAAGACATTCATAATTATTATAAATCTGACACAAAAGATTAAGTAATTTATTATATATGTGGATACATCACAAAACATTTTACCAAATCTATAACATGTAATGTTTGCAGGACTGCAGTAACAGGTACTGTGTCTATTCATAAATTTTATTTAAATGAACTGTTGGAATTTTGTTTGTTTTTAGGTAAAACAACTTATTCAGAAAAACCTGAAGCTGCAATTTTAAACTTAAAATCAAAAGGTGGTTTGACTCATCCTAATAAATTTGTCTTCAACATTTTGTCAAATGTTGAGAATTCTTTTTTGAAATTTTGTGGAAGAATTGATGTATTTGTTTTAACTTATAGATCATTTCTTAGAAAATTATGATCCAATAGAATTTCCATGTTCTCTTCACAAAAGTGATGTTCTAATGTTCATAATATCACAATATATAATTATGAGAATGCGACAATATGTAAATATGATAAATACTAATCAGATAAAAAAAAATGTTTTAAACTTGTAAATACCTAAAAATAAAAAATTTAAATTGGTAATATTATTTTTACTTATTACATGAAAACAAATTATCATATTATATCTTAGGCCGTTTGACCGTGGTACCGCTTCACTGCACAACAGAACGTCTGAATTCAATGAAATAAAATATAATCATATAGGAATAACAATTATGACTAATGAGAGATGGTCAGACTTTATTAGTACATTAGTATATTGATCCGTAAATTGTATTACTATTAAATGTATTTATTTTATGTCCCTCCACATGTTACCTACTCAGAGCCAGTCTCAACTCTCATAATAACCTCCCTGTAATATTTTTAAATTGCAACAAAATAATTAAAATCTTAGTTTGACTACATATTTAGTCAACAATGGCCGCAATTACTTCTTGTGTATATACTTTCGAGGCCACTGATAAGCTGCTCGTTTCCAGTCCATTATATCTTAGTCCGTGGTTTTTCTGCACGCCTAGCGTATAGTCGTTCGCTGTACCCGTATTTTGTAAATCTCTATAATTTGTATATTATTCTGTAATTTGTATATTTCTATATAATTTTGTATATTATCCTGTATTATTTTTTGTTAAATATGTCGTACTTCGTCCAGTATGTAACAGCATAGTTCCGTCTAATCACGGTGCTAGCGTGTCTACGAAGGGTAACGCAATAACGCATTTGATCAGAAAAGTACACGAGATATGGATCGAAGTGGACGACGACGCAAGATTCAGCCTTGTGTGCGAGTGTCAACACACGTCGGAGGACACGCCGGTCGGTCGAGCTAATCACACACACCGTATTCGTTATACTAATATTATAATAGTTTGTGGGATTTTTCTTGTGTGTTTTAAGACGAATGACGTTAAACTTGAGGCCAACGGCTCGGACAAGTACACACAAGCGGATTTTCCGGCGGCGTAGCATCTCGCATACAGGCACTTGGTCGAGGCCTTCGTTCTGCACAGGCATCGGTCTCGGAAAACTAAACCGAGCTAAAGGTTTGTGGCTAACGGACCCACGTCTTGTAGCGGCAGCCATCTCTAAAAGTTGAAGCGAGGGGCGGCATTGGTTGGTGAACGGGACGCGATCGGACCCACGTCTTGTACCGACGACGGTCTCGGAAAGCCGAATCTAAGGGCGGGCACGGCATCTCGACCGAAGGTATCTGGCTGCCATACGTCGTACAATTTTCCGGTTAAGTTAAGTTCCGGCATCGGTGGAGGCGTTTTTTTTTTAGATTCCAATTCCATACAAAGTCATTAATACTAATGATGACCTTAAATTACTAATATGGCCAAGAAATTTAGTCTCTCTTGCAACATAATATGTTATATACTATATTATAGTTTATCTTAAATACATTTTCATTTCCTATCTTTAAACTGTAATCGAACGTTCATCGATGAATTTAGTGGCTATAGTGTTAAAACAAATATTTTAAGCGCCATTTCCATACTTGGGTACACGTAAAGATATTTAATAATGTTTCATATTTTATGATATATGTATAAAGTGTACAGTTTTCATTTATAAGTTACCATTTAAAGTAAGTAAGTTCATTTACCCAGCTTATAATTATTGAAAAATATAAAAGTTTTTTTTTTCATAAATATTTTTTTAAAATTATTTACCTACTTAAAAGTTATTTATTTTATAAATTCAGAACTGTAAGTGTTGAAAAATACATAAAATACATTTATAAGTACTTAAATTTAAATCGTAATCCCCGTATTTTGACAAAATCATCTAACATAGATTATTATATTTCGACAATGTTGAGTCTTGAGCGTAATCTTAAGCTTACAATAAATTATTGTGAGTGTTACGTTTTAGAACATTAGCCAACAATAATTTTATGCAATAGGTGAGTGTTTTGATTTTCCACTAAATACATATAACATAAAAATAACAATTAGATGGTATGAACTATGAAATAATATTCCTAGGTCACCGTGGTGTGTAGTAAAATTGACAAACACGTTATGCTTTCTATTTTCACCACTCGTTGACCTCACAGGTGTAGGTATCTATAATCGTAATAATATATGTGGAGCAACTATTGGGCTGTCGAAGAAGTAATTTATACGTGTTATTTTATTATTATGACTTATAAATCGACGTCGTACATACCCACGCAATATCAATACTAATAATCGTATAAAATATTGTAATAGTCTTTACCTCCTAGCATGACGTACCCTACGTCCTGATACAATTTTATAATATATAAAGTAATATTTTAGATGGATGACATATTTCCAAGTCGATACATTAACACGGGCATCAATATTATGTTGTGATATTATAGTAGACTTATATGGTAGTCAATAATAATACGATCGATGGTAATCTGACTATCGGAGTGGCCGAATTCACATCACAATCACATCATTAATAATTATAATACATATTCAGTAATCAGTATATTATGCTGGTATGCCTATTTTATACCTCATCTATATTACTTCAAAAAACGACCTAAACTTACCAGTTACGCGTGTGCACCAGGCACCTCACATGTAAATGTCGGTACTTACTTTGATTCGAATAATTAAAAATTCTTGAAGCGATTTTCGTTTCATTTATCCCCGTCGTTTAATAGTATGAAAAGAAACACTTTTTATGTTCATTATAACCGTAATTAAAACCAAATTAGTCCATAATTTTGACACTTGAATAATAATCCTTTATTCCATGTATACTTATACCTCGGCTTAAATGTTTTGTAAGCTGTATCTATATACATTGTTTTTCAAATCAAATTAAAAACAGAAGTTCCATCCGTCTTCTTTCTTGTGAGTTGTTGTGATCGCGAATTTCTATCATAAATTAATTATAAATAAACAATTAGTGTCTCGTTTCACGTCCAACCAGTGTGAAAGCTATGTATAATAATATAATATATACATTATACATACAAAATCATAAAAAAATATAATACATTTATTAATAATTAACGAGTAATCAACGTTTATATGATAATAAGTATATAAGTTATAACAATAAGGCTGTATAGCAATTAGCAAAATTGTATAAACCAGTAAACTGTGTACCAACTATCTACCTACCTATATATTAATTTTTAGGATTGTCGCTCTAATATACGTTCCAAAGAAGTGTAATAACTTATGAATATTAATAATGGAGCGCGGCCCCAACCGATTGTAATAGTTTTCAATTTATAATTCAAATTAATAATACATCCACTGTCCGAACGAAATGCATGAAGCAAGACTATACTGCTGAACATAATATAATAATCTCTGAACGGAAAATTTGGTTTCAAATTACTTATTTATTTGAAAATAATAAAACCAACATGCGGGGATTGAAACCGTTTAATTTTAGAGTTCAAGTGTAGGTAGTATATAATTATTATTAAATGTTATTTAATTTTTACAATATATAGTGTTAGCCTGTGTTTGATGTCAGTCTCATGAGAAAATATAAAAACGCCGTGGCTTAGTCTGTATACTTTGTGTACCTACCATTTTTACTTTTATGGTAAAGCACATAAGTATATTTAATGTTCATATAGCAATATCTAGTAAAGTGTGTCGAGTAAAGACCCTAATAAACCTGTATTATATTATATACTATATATAGTCCTCACCCCACCACCAAAAATATTTTATAGTTGGGTAAATATTATGAAAAATAAAATATATTTAATCTCCACAGTGATTTAATATTTTAAAATTAATTTGAACGAAGCGTTTCTCAATATTGACATTTATTATTTTAAAACTGAGAAATATTTTTTTGGTCAGCTATCGTTATTAACGAAATTTAATATTGGAAAATACAATTTTATTAAACTTCATGGGCAAATTAATAATTTTTAAATTATAGCTTTTTGTATATAACAGACATATTTGTTTACGACTATTTGAACATTATTTAAAATCATTTATAAGAATACAATTAAATTACAAAGTTGTATTTTATTCTTAAATCTAAAATGAAATATTTTTTTTTTTTTATTATACTTATACCATTGGTTACAAGAGCGAATAACGTATACAAGAAATGTTGTGTTTAAATATATATATGCATTTTGTATTAGATAATAATATATTAATATGTTCAATTGGAGATAACATTGATACATGAAATAATTATTCGCTTTATTTATTATTAAATTAGTTTTTCCAGTCCAGTTTCCTTGAGAAATGGGATAAAGTCGTCCGTTATATTAAGCTCAAAGGCTTATTGGCTTCGTACAGGTTTGTAAATTGTAGGTATGTTTAATTTTCTCCTATCGTCATAAAAAGTTAGCAGTCTACAAATGCATGTTTGACAGTTAAAACAACTCATAAATAAGTCAAATTTTGTAATTTTGGGATCCCAGTAAATAACCGGATGTTAAGCGGTTATGGCCTATTCTTAATTAATAAAAACAATGATTAATTAAAGCAGTTTTTAATTATAATGCATAAATGTTTTCATTGATAGTTGATTAACTGATGATTTTTTATGTACTTAAGTTTAATCTAAGATACTAATGCAATGTAAGATTTAAAATTAATTCTAAAAAAGTTAACTTACAATAATTAAGTAAAAATACATCTTAGGTATATTTAAGTACATTCAAGTAAAAATTAATGCAATCTTTAGAACTTCACGTTACCGAGCTGACATTTATTTTTGTTTAATACTTATATAGGCTATAATAAATATTATTGTGTTCAAATATTTCAAATTATGTTAATCCTAATATTATTTATTATTTATTCAAATTAAGCATACCTAGTTCATAAGTTACTATATTATGGTAAAATATTTTTATTTTTTTAAACACGTTTCATGAATCACGATATAAATATACAACTTATGTAGTAATATACTACTCTGTTATTCATTATGCATTGTTAATTACAGATCTCATTAAAAAAAAAAAAAACAGATAAAGGTAAATTAAAAGTTTTTCTGCGTAGATAAATCCGTTATTTGACTAGGCCACATGTAGATCACGATTAAAGATATACAGGTTGCACATCGACTACTGATAAGGTGAAATACGAAATGACTACCAATAATTAACCAGTGGCGCTCCAAGCGGCAGTATTACAATTAACCGATTATAGATATATAGGTGTAAAATTAGTTCTAAATGTCGACACATATGGTTGAGTGTTGACATTAAGCGCCACTAGTTAATTATTAACAGCTGATTTTTATAGTCACTTTGTAAATCAGTCTGGAAGCGGTTTACTATAGGGCGATGTGCAACCTGTATATCTTTAATCGTGATGTAGATATAATTTTATTTTTTGAATTACCTATCAATTGAAAAATGATAAAAGAACGTAATCTCTTTAAAATCTATACGAATCAAACTGCACTCTATAACAGAGATATTTTATAGAAATAATTCACACTAGAGTGTTTTTGGTATGACAACGCCGCGGCTCCGGAAATTCTCAAAAATTGGACTACATATAAAAATAGTACTTTTTTGGGAAGAAAATTCTCGTTGAGTATTTAACTGTTTGTCAATAACAATAAATTTAAAATATAATGGGATGTATCAGTAGCCTTGAGAATTCCACAGCGTCGACAGCAAAAAACATTTTCTGATTCCACTTACTGTCATATGATAATATTCACAGAACAACTCGAAATACAGTGTACAAAATATGCACCATTCGGTATTATATCGTTATGTTTGTGCACAGTAAACAGACATCTGAAAATAATTTTGAAAGAGAGCAGTCCTCAAAATGTACAAATACTGTATGATAATATTTGTGTGCTTGTAGGATATTATTACTTTTAGTTGTTGGGTTAATATAAAACGCAAAGTATATACGAACCCACGATAAATCATAACGTAAACGTTTTATGTCCTCTCCCGTTTATTATGCATGAAATAGTTTTAATAAACGTTAATTCAGTGGTTTTCGCAAAGTTTTATCTGCTTACGGTTACAAAATTATCATTTAAAAGGAAAAAAAAACACGACTTGAGATTTCACGTGCTTCCGCTTTACCACAGCGTTTTACGACTAATGAATGCGAATATAATTTTGGTTTTCC